TTTTTTTTCACAAAAGTAAAAAAAGTCCTAAAACAAAAATCAAACGAGGCTAAAAAAGTTTTAATACAAAAAGTTGATCTAACAGTAATGTAGGGGATCTTAATATTTTATTAATATTTTTATCAAATGTCTCACATGAATGTGAGACTCATATGAGATTCACATAGTGTGGATCCCACATCTATGTGAGACATTTAGTAAAAATATTAATAAAATATTTGAAAGCCCTAATATTTTCCTTGATCTAATTTAGAAGCTATTTGTGCTTTTTCCATTTGAATTAATGTATACTTTTAAACAAATTTTTCAATAGATATTTTTTATTCCTAGACGGAATAATAGTGGGACCATATACCATGAATTTAAATGGTAAGAAAATCATTGAGCTCATCACCATGAATATATGGTCTATGTTTTGTGTCTAGTTTTGGAATTATAATTTAAGTGTGAAATTATGATTTAAATGTGAAATTATGAGTTGAGTTTTGAAAAGAAAAAATTTATTTGAATGTGAATTTTGAAAAGAGTTTTAAAAAATGTTTTGAAAAGAGTTTTGAGTTGTATTTTGAATTTTGAGTTTTTGAATTTAAAGTTGTATTTTGAGATTATTGAGATTTATTTTTTAAAATATTAAAAATATTTAAGATTTTTTTTAATTTTCCCTAAAAATTATATATTTAAATTAAAAAAATACAGCACATAAATGTATGAAATATAGTACACATTAAATAAATAAACATTTAAAATATACAATATTTACCCTAAAAAAATAAAATTAAGAAAATATTTAAATATTTAAAAAAAATCCAAAAAAATTTCAAAATACAACTTAAAATTATTTTCAAAACTCATAACCAAACAAATTTTCACTTTTCAAAATTCAACTCAAAATTCATAACTCAAAACACAACTTCACACTTAAATCATGATTTTAAAAATAATTTTAAAAGATAAAATACAAAAAATATTTTAATTTTTTTTAAAAATAAAGTTTTGAAAATTAATTTTGTGTTTTGAGAATAATTTTGAGTTATGTATTTGATTATAAATTTTGAAAATAATTTTTGAATTGAATTTTAAATTGTGTGTTTGATGATAATAAGTTTTGAAAAAAATTAAATTTTTTTGATTGGAATTATAATTTCAAAAAAAACTAAACGGAGCCTTTGTTTCTTTCTAATGAATGACAGGCAGAAGCCTGAATGATGTGGACGAAAATTTAATAATATTATATTTTTATTATTTTAAATTAATTGATTAGGAATATTTTATCTTAATATAAAATCTTATTGAATTATTAAGTTTTTAAAATTATGTTGATTTAGTTTTTCCATTTTATGCATTTATTGTTTCACAAGAATTAGTGGTAGTTTATTATTGGGGGATTTTGTGATAGATCCCTCACTGTCTAATTTATCTTTTAAAAGGATAAAAATTATATATGTACTTTCAAAATCCCCTAATATTTTAAAACTTATTTCTTTTACTATATTACCCATATATCTATCAGCTCTCCTATTAAGCCATTTTCACAGTGTATTTTAGAGTAAAATTTTACTTTGAATCATAGTAAACTTTACTCTGATTCAAATTTTACTCTCAATCAGAGTAAAGTTTACTATGATTCAAAGTAAAATTTTATATTGTTAAGCAAATCAACATGTTTTTAACTAGAGTAAAATTTCAGAGTAAAGTTTACTAACTCTGAATCAGAGTAAAGTTTACTATGATTCAAAGTAAAATTTTATATCGTTAAGCAAATCAACATGTGTATTTTTCTATTTAGTTTTCAAACCGGGAGTCCCGTGCTAATTTCATAAGTTTCTACAACTTATATTGGTCCCTCCTGAAGTGTTCATGATGTTCCCTGGGCCTTCTTATGGTTATTTCACGATTTTGGCCCTCGGTGGCCTATTTTCAAGCCTAAGTATTGGAAAAATGCATTTGTTCACTTAATTTTCAAGCCGGGAGTTTCGTGCTAGTTTTGTAAGTTTCCACAACTTACATTGGTCCCTCCCGAGGTGTTCGGGGTGTTCTCCGGGCCTTCTCGTGGCTGTTTCACGATTTTGGCCCCCCGATGGCCTATTTTCAAACCCAAGTGTTGAAGAAGTGCATTTTTCTAATTAGTTTTCAAGCCAAGAGTCCCATGCTAGTTCCGTAAGCTTTCATAAGTGTATATTTTAAAATTAATTTTTATACAATTCATTAATGACATCTTGTGATGTAGATAATTAAATAACTAATTAGAGCATGGAACAATGCAAAAACCAAAGCAATTCCAGTATCCTAGGTTTTCCAAGTTAAGAACCAAGTAGGAAAGTTAGTCCCATTTGAGGTAACCTCAAATTAGGCTCAAGAAAGTCTTTTAGACACATTTGTGCATTGGTTTCTTTCTTCCAAGATGAATTTTCACTTTAAATTTGGGATTTTTGTGTCCTGTTTTTTTCTCCTCTTTCATTTTGTCTTTGTTATGGGAAACAAGGACATCAAGTGCTATTGAATTAAGATGGCTGCTATCGAGTTTGTATGATTGCAAGACTTTAACATAAATGATTGTCCAAAAAATGGGCCAAACGGTGACTTGAGCCTATTTCATAGACAATGACTTCGAAAAATTGAATAGAAACCGTCATTTAAAAGTGCGGCAATATTTTAAAGATCTATATTATCCTTAACATCAAACAATGCCTACATAGATAGCTTTCTAGATATGAACCAAGAAATTAAAACACTTGATTTACTATTCATATATCATATTTATGCTATTTTTTTCCCCTATATCTATAATAAAACATATAAAAACTAGAGAGTAATATGCAAGGTTTTAAAAAGCGGCCGCTACCGTTACGTAATGTCGTTACGTAACAATTTTGGCGGTTACCGCAACCCGTTACGGCCGCTTTTGCAGTGTGATTGAGATTCACAAGTGTGTTGGCTGTAACGGCTACCATAGCGGTCGTAACGGTGCCGTAACAGCCGTAACGGCCTGTTACGCACCGTTATGTAACGGTTCCAAACTGTTTCTTTTGAAAAAAAAAAAACTGAAAATGGGGGAAGAGGGATAGAGAGAAGAGGGAGGATAAAGAGAGAAAATGGAGGAGCAAGAGATAGAGAGAGAGAAGAGGGAAGATGAAGAACATGTTATTGATTTGTTGAAATTGTATGACTTATGTTATTCTATTCAGCTGCTATTACTAAACCATTTTGTTTGTGTGTGTCTATCTATATTTTGTTTGATAATAATAATAATAATAATAATAATAATAATAATAAGTGTGGTCATTATCTATTTGGCTTGGTTAAAATATGTATATATATATATATATATATTTAGGCTCTTATTTATTCTCATACTTTTGTCATTGTTTGTTTTATATATAATAGTTAGTGATTGAATTTTTGTATAATATAAAGTCATTAATTATTAAAATAAAATGTAAAAAACTCAATTTATAGTGATTTAAAAATATGAAATATATTGGATCATACTTAAAAATTTACAAAAATTGATCAATATTTATTTTTAATCCAATAAATATGATCATAAAAAAAAATATGCGTATCGGTAGGTTTTTTTCAAATTGTGCGAAAAATAAAAAAAATCACGGTTCCGATTACCGCAACCGTTACACTACGGCCTTTACACCCCGCAACCGCAACCGCATCACCGCTAGCGTTACGACGACCGCAACCGCTTTTCAAAACCTTGGTAATATGTGTCATATTATTGGGTATCCCACACCTACTGGTAGTTGTAATATGTGTCATGTTTGGATATGTTGATTCTCTTTACTACATCAAGATTATAATCAAATACCAAGCTCAAATACCCCAACTAGGGATGATCCTATTTCTAGGTATTGCACTATATGACCATCAGCCATGATCCCTATTCATGTTGGAAAAAAATGGTTAATCCTGAGGAATGGAGTGTTTTGTGTTTCATTGAGTATGCACAATCTGAATGCAAAGATTTTTTCTCTTCAAGTAATAGCTATTGAGGCTCATTATTAGCATGTCACATCCTCTTCAAGTAAAAGATCAACATAACTGGGACATCAAAAACTTCCTAAGGCTTTTCTGATGGAGCATGTCACGTCCACTTCAAATTATCAATTGTAAAGATTTTTCCATGCATTACTATCCATTCAAAAAATATAACCTTAGACGGCGACACAGGTACCAAACTTTAAGAAAGAAAGAACTCATAATTGGGTTTAATACAACAAGGGAGAAGGACAAATTTAATTATTAAAATGGATTAGGAATAATACATTACATTATTTTGTTTTTAATTGGTTTGTCAAGGTGGATTAATTTGTATCCAACACTTTCTTTTTCTTTTTTCTTTTTAAAAAGAGTATTGTGGATAATAAATTAAAATGCATACGAGCAATAGTCATTCACATTCTGTCATTGTACCTAGGAGAGCTTGATTATCTGTCTCCAATTTGCCCACCAATAATAAATTTACCAAAACAATTACTGGTACTGTTCATTAAGGACATGAACATCAGGGTATAAAGTGACTACTCAAATGTTTGAATATGCATTCCCATGCTTACCAACTAAAATTTCATCATTCCACCAAGCAATGTCTTCTTAACAACACGACTTAAACAAAATACAATAGAAAATGATTCTTTACACTTTGTGGAATGCTTGATTAATACATTTTTTATATGCTATTCCGCTGCTTAGTGACTACAAAACTGTGTATTAAAGTTCATTATTTTCAATCTTCTTCATTTGTGTGAAGTTTGTTTTCCTTACTTTTTTTCACTTGAATAATGTTGGTACTGGTAGAAGGTAGACAATGGGATAAATCCCTTAGAGATGACTATGAAGGTTTCCCTATGAGTTCAATTCAAACTAGAACAGAGATCAATGATCATAAGTACTTCAAACCACTTATTCATTAAACCAACATTAGTGAGCCCAAGAAGAAACAAACCAAAAAAAAGTAAGAAAAAGAAAACAAAAAAAGAGGTTCCCTAAAATGATTCCAATAGAACAACTTACTGAAATGATTTACACTTCCACAACGCTAAATGAATAGGTTCTTACAAGTTTAATATGGTCCAAACACAAAAAATAATGCTAGTTATCATGAGGGTAGCATAAAGGCTAATGCAATGTTGTTCAAATTGTGAAATTAAATAAATAGATTCACGAATAAATTATAAAAAAAAAAAACCAAGAACACATGCTGAGAATTGCAACAGAAATACACAATACAATAAAATGGTAAAGAAAGCAAGCTGAAGCCTGCACTGTAACAGTTTCCTTAAAACAAATTTTGCCGCCTCATAGGTTGAGTGCTTGAGGAATTCTGGCGTCTATCTCCCAGGATACGACGGTTAAAAACAGCTACTGCAGAAGCACTTTCTGTTTAGCTTAGTGAACAAAACCATGGCAGCACTCTCTCACTGTAGAAACTTTCTAGCAAACTGACTTGTAAAAAGGAAACAATAATTTTTGTGTTTGAGACTTGACAGGAGGGTCTCAATTTATACATGTATATGGGAGAGAGAAGAAGCCTTCAGCCTTTATGCCCGGTCACTAATGCACCATTAACTTCTGCAATAAAGACAGGAGTTACAAACCCCATTAATGCACTATTAAACTTTACAATAAAGGCAGAAGTTACAAACCTCATTAACTCTTTCATGAAGCTAACTTCATGGGGCAATTTCTCATTCAATTCTCAATGATTTTTGGGCATTCTATTTGCGGTGTAAAGATCTTATTACAAAGTATCTAGACCCACTTGGACCTAACATAATAGACGGTTGAGACCCACTTTAATATTTAATTAAAGTCACCAAAAAATCATTTTTTCCAACATGCAACACTTGCCTACATAATTATGCATGTTCCTGAGATCTTATTAGAGCAACGACACTTTTTTCAGCCAAGGCATTCACTTTCCATGATTCACTTTTTGGACAGCAAATTGCATGAATATGGGTGTGGATAATTTGCATTCTTTTTGTTGATTACAAAAAAAGAAGAAAAATCCAAGAATCAAGAATTTACAATCGTTATGCATTAGATGAGCAACAAACCGAGCACGCCTATCAACTCTTCCAGCTAATTGGGTTTCATTGCATGAATCCTTTCTAACCATTGTATACAATATCGTGAGAGCCTAGGTGTGGTTCATATGATTAACAAACACGTGCGAAGTAAGAACACAACCAATCATGCATAAATCCAAGAAACATGTATAAAACAGAAAATTTCAACACATAAAATTTACTTAAATGTGCCAAAACAAGGTTTAGAGAAGGAATAAAGCCCTAGCTCAAGAACACAACCACATTCCACATGACTTCTTTCCATTGTGTAATACAACATATTGAACAACAGCAGCTCAATAAAAAATACATTTAGCCACGCCAAATGGGCATGAATAAATATGTTTTGAAACCCATTAAATGAAATAATGCATCAACAAGAAGCCATGGCAAATTAGATGCAGTTTTTGTATATAAAATTTACCTGCTGAGCAAGTCTCTAGGTATTTTTAGTTTGGTTTTAGAAAAATAAAAATAAAACACATGGGAGTGCACAATCAGGTAGATTTCAATGGGGGGAAAAAAATAGAGATTTAAATTAATCAAAAAGCAACGCTTCGAGCCAATCAAGCATTGCACACAAACAGAGTACATAAATAGTTTTCTTGGGAACAAATCGAAGCAGCAAACAATCAAGAAAGATTTCATAAAAAAATAAAAAATAAAAACCAGATATTAATAAAGATTCATCTAGAACAAGAACTGAAATATAACCAATAAAAACCTTAAAACATATTCTTTCAATTTTATTCCCAATCAATCTGGAACCCAATTAGGTCTTCATACACTCACACACACTCAAGCAGGTGTTTGTGTCAAGGCAATGGAATATAAGCCACAATAAAAGCAAAACAATGGATAACTAGGCTGAGACAAATTGAAAGGAATTCTGTTATGCATCTTCCTGCCCATTAGTGGAAGAATTTCATTTAAGGTCAAACCATCATAAGGTATATTACATGGGAGAATTTTTAATTCGAAATAAAAACAAATTATCAAAGAGAGAAAGGGAGGAAATCCCAGAACTTCAGAGGAAGAGTTTTAAGTCAACATCTATGAAGCACGGGTACTCCAAAAAATGTTGTCGTACAAGTATCGAGTACTTCCCAGGTGTAGGTACGCGTACCGGTACGGCTGTACGCATACTGAGTAGGCCAAAAACGCACTGGGTATGTTTATACGATAAGTATACGGATGGGTACGCCATGGGTACGTTTTGGATACTCCGAGATAAAAAATGAGATTTTTTATAAATTAAAAGGTACCGGAGCAATTTTTATGTTTATTGTAAAGAATTATAAAAATCTAAGGTTCTTTTGTAATAAATAAAACATAAATAAAACATAAATAAAACATGAAACCAAATAAAATGAGGGTTCTTTATTCTTTCTATCATTCGATCATCTCAGCTCCTTCCATATCTCATTCCAAAATACTCCAAGACTGAAGAACTTCGAAGGTGCTAGGGTTCCATGTCTATTCGGTCATCTCCTTCCAGAAGTACTCCCAAGAGAGTCTGAAGAACACTTCGAAGGTGCGATTGAAAGGTTTAATCGAAGGTGCTGCTGATTGATTCTCTCTCATTCGAAGGTGCGATTGAAGGGGTAAGTTCATCTTCGATTCTTTCCCCTTTTCTTCTTCGATTCTTTCTCCTTTTCTTCTTCGATTCTTTATCCTCTTTCTTTCAATTTTTTTTCTTCAGATTTTTGTGTTGTTTCTTTGCTGCAAACGATCGATTCTTCTTTTCTCTTTGGTTTTCTCTTTCTTTGATCCTTCATCTTCTTCTTCATTTTTCTTGAACTCATTTTTTTTTTCTGTTTCTGATATATGTCCAGATTTGTTGAACTAAGATCTGTCATTTTTTTTTCTTCTGATATATGTCCAAATTTTTGAACTAAAATCTGTCCAGATTTGTTGAACTAAGATCTGTCCTTTTTCTTTTTTTTTTCTTCTGATATATGTCCAGATTTTTGAACTAAGATCTGTCCTTAATTTTTTTATTTATTTTCTGATATATGTCATATATATATGTAATATGATATTGGTTGTAAAGCTTGATGACAAATTAAAATAACTTGACATCTTAAATTCTCTTTTGTAGCAGTTTATTTTGAGGGGGAGGGATGGGGGTTTTGTAACTGAAAAACAGGGCATTAATTTGTGATGCATAACCATTGGTTTTGAGTTAAGTTAAGTTATCTATCTGTTTCCACATTGGTTAATTTCCTTGCAATGCTTGATGTTGTGGGTGGATATGATTGGTTATTGTTTCATTGTCTTTCATGAACTAAAATTGAGAGATACTTTGTAGGTCAATATGGGAGTTAGATTGAAAGGTGTTGCAGTGTCCTTGTTCTTGTCATACTTGTCACTGAAATAAATTATGATCACAGATTCACAGTGCATAACATGTCAAGTGAGATTTCACAAATATTATAAAAAAATATCTTGTCATATTTGTCTTTTAGTTTTGTTGTTCTCTTTTTAGTTTTGATATTTAATTTTAATTTGTAGGTTGGATCCTTTAACCATAATTATAAAAAAAATATCGGGGTACCGCAACCGTACCCGTACCCGTATCATACCTTTTTGGGATCTTGCCATATCGGCGTACTCGTACCTGCACCCGTACCGTACTCGTACCCGCACCCGTGCTTCTTAGCTCAGCATCAATCTTACATAAACTCAACAATCTCTAAGATGTAAAGATTAAGAACATTACCAAGAAATTTACACTATCAACTTAATAGTGAAAAAAAACTATAAAACTATCAAACAAAAAAAGAAGAAGAAACATTCTAGAGAAGTTATGGATGACATGTAAACTATGTTCACATGGTTTTGCTTATAAACTGTGTTCTTGAATTCCCTCACTTCTTCCCATATATGCCCTTTTAAAAGAGAAAATAGATTACTACTTACTTTAGGAATTCAAAATTTAAACAGAAGCAAAGAAACAAATTAATTGGCAATAACCCTCAATTAATTGGCACTTGAACCCCTCTCAAAAACTTCATAGTAAAACAATCCAATTCCAGAAAATGTAAACAAATTACATACTCTCCAGAAAATGTAAACAAATTACATTTTCTAGACAGCCAAAAACAAATACAGATAGCAAAATAGAAGAAGAATTTTGAAGAGAGAAGAGCAAAGCCGTGGCCTTGGTATTGGCAGAGATGGGTTGTTGTGCGGTGGTCAACAACGAACATTACCAAACATGGCCGAAGTAAACAAAATTGAGCAACATACAAAATTGGATGTACGAAGCAAAATAGAAGACGAATTTTGAAGAGAGAACCAAAACCCTAACCTTGTTATTGGCAGAGATGGGTTAAATTAGAAACCTGTGACAGTTCAAAAAAATAGAACCCATCAAACATCTAGATTCTTAACAAAGCCCTAAAATAACCAAAACACTGAAGCGGGAAAAAAGACTTACCTTGCGAGCTGAGTTAGAGACACGGCTCGACAAAGAGAGAAGGGAGGAGGGGGGAGAAGCAGAAATCGAGTGAGAGACAAGGGGAGAGGCAGAAATCGAGGATTGGAGTGTAGCATCGGGAGCGAGCGAAGAGGGAGGGTAGGAAAGAAGAAGAACAGAGAGGAAGATAGAGATAAAGGGGGAATGGGGAGGAGACATGGGTAAGTGGGAGAGGGAGAGAGCACAGGGTGTTTGGGTGGGAGAGAGCACAAAGTGTTTGGGAGAGAGAACACAGAACACAGAGTCTCTCCCCAAATTTTTTTTTCAAAAACAACTCTCCGAAAAACAAACCAAACAATGTCCCTCTGATACATTTTATATATTTTTAAAAATCGTTCTATTTTATTATATAGATTTTTATAAAGACGTGGAAAACAGACGGGTTTGCACGAGTCAAAATAAATTTTGTATTAAAAATTTGTTTTAGTTTTTAAAGGTTATTTTCTAAGTTTTTAATCAGTATTTTTTATTTTACAGAATTTTTTCAATATTTTAATCAATTAAAAATACATTTTTTTAAAATACATCTAAAAGTAAAATATTTGTGAACAAATATTAAAAAAATCAATAAATATATATAAAAATATACTGAGTTTTCGTATCTTTTTAGAATTTTTTGTGTATGGTGATTTTTTTAATAATTTTTTTCATAAATATTATACCTTTAAAGTTTATCTGGATTATGTGTATCTAAAAAGTAAAAAAATAAATAATTATTAAAATATTAAAATAGTTCACTAAAAATTCAAAAAATATGAATTAAAAATTAGAAAAATAGTTTTCAAAAATTGAAACAAACAGAATCGATCCAAATCCACGTATTTAATAAATGGTTTTAAATGGGTTGGGCGGAGGTGGAGTGTCAATAGTGGTAATGGAGAAGAGGTGGTGGAGGTGGAGTAGCGGTGGTAGTGGAGAGGCAACGATGGAGGTTGAGTGGCGACGGCAGCAATGGTGGTGGTGGTCGTTGTGAAGTAAGGCGGTGGTGGTGGAAGAGAAATGGTGGCAGCGGCTATAGTGGTGGTGGTGGTGGGGTAGTGGTGGTGGAAGTAGTATAGAGGTGATGGTGGTAGTGGTGGTGGTGTAGTGGCAGCAATGGTGGTGTGAAGATGGTGGATGAGAGGTAATGGTGGTGGTGGTGAAGTGGCGGCAGTGGCAACAGCAGTGGTGGTGGAAAAGAGTGAGTGGTGGCAGTGGTAGAGTCGTCATAGTGTTAGTGAAGGACAGGTAATGGTGGTAGTAGAGTGACGACGGTAGTGGAGTAGCGGCGACAGTGGTTGTGGAGTTATGGCGGTTGTGGTGATGGAAGTGGAGAAGAGGTGGTGGCGGCAGTAGCGATGGTGGTAATGGATCTGTGGCCGCAGAACTGGTGGTGGTGGTGGAGCGTTGGCAATGGTGGTAGAAAAATTCCATTTAAACAGATTTAAACAGGTACTCATGTCTAACCCAAAGAGGGCTTCGCAAGATAGGAACTGATTTGGGCAAACAAATAGGGCTTTACACTTATAACATGAAACGGTGTCGTTTTGCATAATAAAACTATAGAAGACGAAGTTATTTCCTCACGGAAATTTTTTACAATGGTGGCGAAAATTTTCGTCACCAAATTGGCACCCAAATCTCCCACCAAACTTTCCAAGGGCGGGAATTTATTTTGTGATGAAAAAAAATATATAGAGACTGAAAAAAAAATTCGTCGCCTATTGTTTTATTGATTTTAAGCATTTAATGACAATTTCATTTTCGTCTTTAAAAATAGTACAATTGGAGACGAAATCTTATTTTCATCTCTAAAACATGTAATCCTATTTTTGTCATACGTTTTTGTCACCAAAGACTTTTTTTGTTGTAGTGGTAGTGTTGCTACTGTTTGTTGTTGATCATTTTATCTTGAGAGATAGACGTCCACAATCTAAAAGTACCGTGAAAAGGACGAACCTGTATTAAGGACACAATGTTAAATACTGGACTTAATCAAAATTTTGTTCAATAAATACATAAGTCTCTCTTCTTTCTTTATTTCTTTTGTTTGTTGTTAAATACACAAACATTATTTATTCTTAATACAGTGAAGATTGTCCAACAAAAAAATAATACGTGAAATAGAGCATAACCATTTTGCTATTTCTGCTCTCAAATTATACAAATGCTTCCCCATTTAACAATAACTCTTCCTTAATAAATAAAACATTGAACAAAATTTTTTAACATCTAGAGGAGGATGAGGTTTTTTGATTCAATTTTGGGTTGATGAGCACAACTTGACTAAAAGGTTGAAAGATTTTGTTACTACATCAACTATGGCCCTATTTGGGAAGGATTATTTAGATTAAAATAGTCAATAAATATAAAATAATTAATAAGATAATTTGTCACATTCGATTCATAATCATTTCATTTTTTCTCTCACAATTTATCAAATCAATTACAAAAAAAAAAAAAACTATCTTTTCAAACACAAATTTTTTGGCCAAATTAAAATAATTAAAAAGTCAAAAAAACTAACTATAATAGCTAACCTCTCAAAGGAGACCTATATTACTCACAAATCTACATTCAATCTCACGCAATTGGTTTAAATATATTGGGTCTTGTCCTAAATATTAAGACCAAAGCCTTACTCGTACCCAAAGAATCAACAAGGCCTTATCAAATAACAAGATTACATGCAGAATTGATAACATAATTAACTATATAAAATAATTTTAATCATGCATATTAGATTGTGGATCCCATTATAAATGATAGTTTCATTCAAATTACTCCACTTATATTTTATATGATTGATTCTGTATATGTAGACTTGTCTTGTTTGGTTTTAAAAAATTGAGCCTACTTTTTTCAAAATTAAGCTTTTTATTTTCATGTTCTTTTTAGTCAAAAAAATTGTATTTTTAAGATTTTTTATTTTTTAGATGCACCTAACTTAAATAAAATTAAAAAATATAATATTTATAGAAAACATCTTTAAAAAATTCATCAAATATAAAAAAATATATAAATTCAATACATTTTCGTATTCTTGTATATTTATTGAATTTTTAAAATATTTTTCACAAAGATTTTATTTTTTAGGTGTATTTAAGTTATGTGTATTTAGAAAATAAAAAATTTATTTAAAATATTAAAAATAAAAATATACAAAAAATAAAAAAAATAAAAAAAATTAATTTTAAAAAAATCAATCAAAACCAAACAATGTGATTTAAATTTTGGATGCGCCATAGTAAAATTAAAATTAGTGGGGATCTCATGAAATTTTATTTTTATTAGGGTTAATTATATGTTATCCTTTCAACTATAGTAAATATTATGTTATCATTTTCAATTTTAAAAATTGTATATTTAGATCCCTCAACTATAAAATTGATACAAAGATCTTTTTTTTCTAAAAAAGTAAAAATGAAATAATTTTGATAATTGAAGAATCTAAATATAGGATTTTACAGTTAAATGAAATAATAATTAAATGGATAAAGTGTAATTAATAATTTTTATTATTTTAATATATATTCCCTCTATTACTTTTTAGACACACCTAACATAAATACACCTAAAAAGTAAAAAAATTGTAAAAAAAATCTTTTAAAAATTCACTAAATACAAAAAAATACAAGAATTTAGTACATTTTTTTAATTTTTATGTATTTCTTAATTTTTTAAAATATTTTTTCACAATTTTTTTACTTTTTAGACATATCTAAGTAAGGTGCATCTAAAAAAGTAAAAAAATGTTTAAAATTTTAAAAATATTCACTAAAAACAAAAAAATACGAAAATCAAAAAACTTAATCCAGAAAACTCAAACCAAACACAGTGATTTGAATTTAGGGTTCAAATTATCCACAGATCGATCGTTCGGTTCCACCAGAAAACCAGCGTTTCTCAATCGATTCGTTTGGTTCCTAATTTTTACCGGGTAAATTTGCTATATCGATTCAAATTTGTCTGCACTATATAATCGATTGTAGAACCTAGTTGTTACTGAATCGTATTATGTCATGAGTTATTGTTTGATATACATGGATTTAGATCTATGAGAACCTCAGAACTGTGATTTTTTGTTGTTTATGGTTTTATTTCATGTGGATTCTGGTTATGGATTTGAAGTTTTGAACCAAATATCTGTGAAAGAATTCAGATATGTGCGAATTATGGAATTAAAAGTTTTGGCCGGTCATTAGTTTGGTTTATATATAATTGAGTACAGATTCCGATGAAAATGTATTGAATTTCGCTGTTTTCTTGTTACCGTTGATTTTGATGAAAATTGGAGGAATCTAATGACTATTTGGTATGTATGAAAAGAAAAGTTGTTGACAGATAACTAAGAAACACTGATATAGCGCTGTTACAGTGCCATTATGGCCGTTAAATTTCTATTTTCAACCGACTTTGTATATAAGATACTTTTTATTATTTTTTTATTTTTTAATATAGAAAAGACACATATAACTTATGCTGAAACCTTAGATCTACATACTAAGTGTCTAATCCTCAAGTTCTAGAAGATTTTGAGTTGCTTTCAAGGTTAAATGAACTTAGTTCTCTTTTATTTCAATCATTCATTAATTTTGCTCATTAATCAACAAACTTCCTTTACATTATCACGTGATTATTTACTTATATCTATTGATTATTAGCTTATATCTATTTGGTTTCAGATTAAATTTGTTAGACAAAACTTGGATATCATGTTATGTATTTTCACATTAGTACGTTGGCATTTGTATTACGAACTTATGTTTATGAGACTTATCATTTTAATATTAAACAGGTTTCATAATTTTTTTTTTTTTGGTCTTCCCATAACCGGGGGGGTATGTCCAAAAAAAAAAAAAAAGCTACTTAAAAGTGGTGTAAAAAGTAGTACATATATATAGGATCATGTTTTAAAAATTAAAGAAAATCCACCAAAAACTATCCTACTAAATGTGATTATGAAATAAAAATGTGTATTAGTATTGGTAAGTTTTTCAGAATTTTTGTGAACAAATAAAAAATTTATAGCTCCGATTGCCACTAGCATTACCCTGCGACTGCTACACCCTACAACCATGTCAAATCCACCGTTATTGGTGGCGCTTACTGTTCCTTAATACCTTGGAAGGACTTCAAAAGATTCTAAAGGTTTCTCTTCTCTTCTTTTTTTTTTTTTTTTTTTTTTGAAGGTAAACATAGCTTTTGTGAAAAATTATTATTCTCTAACCCATATTAACCCAACATTTTGACTCTTTGAATCGTGGATCTGCCTGGAAGATCACACAAGCTATTATTCCTTTTGGTTCTTGGTGAGTTGTAAACCTCAACTATTTTTTAATTCCACCTATAATCTCTACCCTTGTCTTATCAACCATAAACCTAAGAACCAAAGCCTAGCCCTCTTTTAGTAAGAAGCATAGAGACTAAAGTAGGAGAAAATGGGATATCAACACACGGACATACGATATGACACGGATATGCCGAGATGACAACTGTCAAAAAATGTAGGATATGACACATGAGGGACATGCACAAATTATATAGTTTTTTTTATGTTTATTACGTGCCATATATTTGAGTATCTCATTAAAAGATAATTAAGATAAAATGCAATATAATACCATGGTTTTAAATATTGGCTGTCATATATCGTATCGGCCAATATGTATCGGGATTTTGGACTTCCAAATACCATTATTTACCAATATATCAGCTAATAAACTTATATTGCCCATTATCAACCGATATATGACCATATCACTTATACGGATACTAATTCTTAAAAGTTTGAATGAGGAGCGATTAATAAGTATAAATCTATATTGTTTTTTCTTTTATCATGGTATCTTCTAAGTCATTTTGGCCAAACTTATAATGTGTTTCATGTGTATTAAGCAATGGTCATATGTGTCGCCCAAGTGTCCACAGCGTGTTTGGGTCAAAAAATAAATAAATAATATGACACATTTGGACTTGTGTCCGACATGTGTCGGGAAATGTCTGATGAGTGTCAATGTCAAACACATTTCTGACACGAACACACCGCCTTAGAAGTGTAGTGCTTTGTAGCTCTTTTTCTTGATTGTAGGTGATTTTAATGTGATCATTAAGGTTTCATCCTACAGCGTGGCCTATGCGTGTTATAGAAGGCCTCCTCTACCACTAACTCCTCCATAATATCCTTGAAAGAGCCAAGTAGTTGTTTGATGGAATTGGTAAGAAAAGGGGAAATATGGTTTCTTTGTTGGATACCACCTACTAAAATAAATTATTTCCTCTAGGAGTCATGCTGAAAAAACGAGAGTCATAGAATTTCTGTAGGAGCTTCTTTGTATATGTAATTATAGTTATAGAGAAAGTTCATTGACTGCTTGTCTGCTACTTGCCTCACGACATGATTCAATTTTATAAAGACCACATTTCTGCCTTGATAAGACCATGGATTATTAACTTACTCCTTGAATGAGTTGATAGATATTGCATTAATAGAGAGTTTTTGACTATGGCTTAAGATAATAGATATCTTTACAAAAATGCTATAGACCTCAAAAGAATTACCAAATGTGAGTACTGTGTAGCATTGCTCATATCTTTAAAGAATAAAAACATCAACTGTATCATCTTTGTTCATAAAGCCTAGAATATTTAACATAGCCTGTGGTTGTTTTGATGGATGCCACATAAGTTGAAGTAGTTTGAACAACTACTTGTTGCTTTTTACAATTGTGTTTGATAAAACCATAGGTAGCATACTTGATTCTTTCAAGTAGAGAGTGGGGGTGTTATTAAGAGAAAGCATTAGGAATTGACGTATAGGGCTTGTTTGGTGTAACTTATTGTAAGCTGAAAGCTGATAATCAAAAAGAAGAAACCAAATGCACCCATCCTCCAACTTTTATATAATAATTATTTTTTTAAAGCTTATTTAAGCTACTTTTGCCTAATAAATTGTAAGCAGATGTTGCAGTAAACAGTCTGGCACAAACTCCAGAATAAAAAATGTTATAAACAGCTCAGATAAGCTGCACAAAACAGCCCCCATAATATTGAGATTATTGCACTTTTTAACTAGTTAAAGTTCACTCCATACTCCATAAATGTATTCACATAATGTGGCATGCTAAGAAGCACGGACACCTCCCCGGAGGCTACGTATCAGTGTCGGACACGCGTCGGACACGCGGTTGACACGTGTCTGACACGTCTGCAGAGGTGTCCCATTTTTTTTATTTTTTTTGTTTTCTGGACACGCGACGGACACGCGCGAGGTCGAAAACATAATTTTTGAAACTTAAACAGGGTCAAAGTGTAAAATTAACAAAAAGAAAAGAAAGACGATCGCGAGTCGAAGGGGAGAAGAAAGAGTCGAACTTGATCGAAGGGGAGAAGACCTAGATCGTGAGTCGAACCTGATCAAAGAGTCGATCGAAAACCCTAAGAACACGATCGCGAGTAGAAGAAGATCACGAGAAGCAGACGATCGACAACCCTACGTATGTTTCGCTGCTCCTGTTCCTCTCTTCTTCTTCTCCCTTTGTTTGTTTCTGTGCTGCGTTGCCTCTGTTTTTCTTTTCTTTTTTTTCTCTCCTCTATGAGTCGACGACCCTGTTATAACAAATACAAACAAAAGAAAAAAATTATTTTATTTTATAAATAAATAAAAAAATCAGTCCTTTATTTTATAAAGGAATAAAAATAGTAATTTTTTTTTATTTCTTCTTCACTCATAAATATTTATTTTATTTTATAAATAAAATAAATAAATAAAATCAGTCCTTTCTTTTACTGTTTTTATTTATTTAATTTTTTTTTCTTTCTTTAACTTATTCTATCTGTTTGTTATTTTTATTTATTTTTATGTATTGTTATTATTATTTTATAGGAGCCAATTTGTGATTCTTGAATATAGCATTGCCATCAAGCAATGCAATTTCTGATTTTTTTAATTTTTGTTAGTGTTATTTTGCATTTTTTTTATTACCTTTCAATGAATAATTATATATTTTATGACATATAATAAATAAAATTAATTATATATATTGAACGTGTCCCCAGCGTGTCGTGTCCTTTATTTTTTAAAAATTTGCGTGTCCGCGTGTCTGTGTCGTGTCCGTGTCGTGTCGCGTGTCCGTGTCCGTGCTACTTAGGTGGCATGTTTATCGTGCGGTTTTTGGGAATTTAAAACCAATAGGTTTGGCCAATTTGATTCAGTGTTTTGTTTGATTTTTACAGCTTGCAAAAGCTTTTGATTTTGTGCTCGGGGGTTTTTATTTTGAATGCAGAATCTCTGGGAAGATCTTTAGTACAGATCGGCACCATCCATATTCTCATCATTGTTTTCATTTGGTACACTTATCATGAAGTATTTGGAATACACTCCTCTTGATCAGTAATTGTTAAACTTTATATTTTAAGCAGAAGCATGCTAATACACTTGATTGGGTACAGTCCCTCATGCGGTTTAATCAGTATTATGCTCTTATCATCTTTTTTTCTTTGTTTCTTTTTTTCTTCTTTTAGATTTTTTTGTTACTTTTGTTCAGTTTCCTTTGTATAGTAAGTGGTAATTTGTTATGTCATCCAGTATAAATGATTTCTTAAGTCATGTAAATCTTGGAGAGCGTACCATCAAAGGATGCCTTGAAGCTTACTCTTGTAAGACAACTTGTATTCGTCTTTTTTGCGTCTTCCACCCCCCCTCCCTCTTATTTGTTAAATTTTGAGTTGACATATATTTCGTTTGTTTTGTGCTTTTTCCCAGGCAAACATACGGGAAGTGATAAGAAATTGTCTCTCAGGTTGGAGCATGAGGTAATCCAAATTTATGTAGTTTATTTTATCCATGGAACAAAATTTCAGTTTCTCTCCATTGGAGTAGTCGCAATTTTTTTGTTTTGAGGGGAACTGGAATGAAACACTTGTGAAATATTGATGTTTTAGTATTCATCAAAAAAAATTATGTAGTTTATTTTATCCATGGAACAAAATTTCAGTTTCTCTCCATTGGAGTAGTCGCAATTTTTTTGTTTTGAGGGGAACTGGAATGAAACACTTGTGAAATATTGATGTTTTAGTATTCATCAAAAAAAATTATGTAGTTTATTTTATCCATGGAACAAAATTTCAGTTTCTTTCCATTGGAATAGTTGAAATGTTTTTGTTTTGAGGGGAACTGGAATGAAAGAAAAATTATTATTCTCTAACCCATATTAACCCAACATTTTAACTCTTTGAATCGTGTGAACATAGCTTTTGTGAAAAATTATTATTCTCTAACCCATATTAACCCAACATTTTAACTCTTTGAATCGTGTGAACATAGCTTTTGTGAAAAATTATTATTCTCTAACCCATATTAACCCAACATTTTAACTCTTTGAATCGTGTGAACATAGCTTTTGTGAAAAATTATTATTCTCTAACCCATATTAACCCAACATTTTAACTCTTTGAATCGTGTGAACATAGCTTTTGTGAAAAATTATTATTCTCTAACCCATATTAACCCAACATTTTAACTCTTTGAATCGTGTGAACATAGCTTTTGTGAAAAATTATTATTCTCTAACCCATATTAACCCAACATTTTAACTCTTTGAATCGTGTGAACATAGCTTTTGTGAAAAATTATTATTCTCTAACCCATATTAACCCAACATTTTAACTCTTTGAATCGTGTGAACATAGCTTTTGTGAAAAATTATTATTCTCTAACCCATATTAACCCAACATTTTAACTCTTTGAATCGTGTGAACATAGCTTTTGTGAAAAATTATTATTCTCTAACCCATATTAACCCAACATTTTAACTCTTTGAATCGTGTGAACATAGCTTTTGTGAAAAATTATTATTCTCTAACCCATATTAACCCAACATTTTAACTCTTTGAATCGTGTGAACATAGCTTTTGTGAAAAATTATTATTCTCTAACCCATATTAACCCAACATTTTAACTCTTTGAATCGTGTGAACATAGCTTTTGTGAAAAATTATTATTCTCTAACCCATATTAACCCAACATTTTAACTCTTTGAATCGTGTGAACATAGCTTTTGTGAAAAATTATTATTCTCTAACCCATATTAACCCAACATTTTAACTCTTTGAATCGTGTGAACATAGCTTTTGTGAAAAATTATTATTCTCTAACCCATATTAACCCAACATTTTAACTCTTTGAATCGTGTGAACATAGCTTTTGTGAAAAATTATTATTCTCTAACCCATATTAACCCAACATTTTAACTCTTTGAATCGTGTGAACATAGCTTTTGTGAAAAATTATTATTCTCTAACCCATATTAACCCAACATTTTAACTCTTTGAATCGTGTGAACATAGCTTTTGTGAAAAATTATTATTCTCTAACCCATATTAACCCAACATTTTAACTCTTTGAATCGTGTGAACATAGCTTTTGTGAAAAATTATTATTCTCTAACCCATATTAACCCAACATTTTAACTCTTTGAATCGTGTGAACATAGCTTTTGTGAAAAATTATTATTCTCTAACCCATATTAACCCAACATTTTAACTCTTTGAATCGTGTGAACATAGCTTTTGTGAAAAATTATTATTCTCTAACCCATATTAACCCAACATTTTAACTCTTTGAATCGTGTGAACATAGCTTTTGTGAAAAATTATTATTCTCTAACCCATATTAACCCAACATTTTAACTCTTTGAATCGTGTGAACATAGCTTTTGTGAAAAATTATTATTCTCTAACCCATATTAACCCAACATTTTAACTCTTTGAATCGTGTGAACATAGCTTTTGTGAAAAATTATTATTCTCTAACCCATATTAACCCAACATTTTAACTCTTTGAATCGTGTGAACATAGCTTTTGTGAAAAATTATTATTCTCTAACCCATATTAACCCAACATTTTAACTCTTTGAATCGTGTGAACATAGCTTTTGTGAAAAATTATTATTCTCTAACCCATATTAACCCAACATTTTAACTCTTTGAATCGTGTGAACATAGCTTTTGTGAAAAATTATTATTCTCTAACCCATATTAACCCAACATTTTAACTCTTTGAATCGTGTAAACATAGCTTTTGTGAAAAATCATTATTCTCTAACCCATATTAACCCAACATTTTAACTCTTTGAATCGTGTAAACATAGCTTTTGTGAAAAATCATTATTCTCTAACCCATATTAACCCAACATTTTAACTCTTTGAATCGTGTGAACATAGCTTTTGTGAAAAATTATTATTCTCTAACCCATATTAACCCAACATTTTGACTCTTTGAATCGTGGATCTGCCTGGAAGATCACACAAGCTATTCCTTTTGGTTCTTGGTGAGTTGTAAACCTCAACTATTTTTTAATTCCACCTATAATCTCTACCCTTGTCTTATCAACCATAAACCTAAGAACCAAAGCCTAGCCCTCTTTTAGTAAGAAGCATAGAGACTAAAGTAGGAGAAAATGGGATATCAACACACGGACATACGATATGACACGGATATGCCGACATGACAACTGTCAAAAAATGTAGGATATGACACATGAGGGACATGCACAAATTATGTAGTTTTTTTTTATGTTTATTATGTGCCATATATTTGAGTATCTCATTAAAAGATAATTAAGATAAAATGCAATATAATACCATGGTTTTAAATATTGGCTGTCATATATCGTATCGGCCAATATGTATCGGGATTTTGGACTTCCAAATACCATTATTTACCAATATATCGGCTGATAAACTTATATTGCCCATTATCAACCGATATATGACCATATCACTTATACGGGTACTAATTCTTAAAAGTTTGAATGAGGAGCGATTAATAAGTATAAATCTATATTGTTTTTTCTTTTATCATTGTATCTTCTAAGTCATTTTGGCCAAACTTATAATGTGTTTCATGTGTGTTAAGCAATGGTCATATGTGTCGCCCAAGTGTCCATAGCGTGTTTGGGTCAAAAAATAAATAAATAATATGACACATTTGGACTTGTGTCCGACATTTGTCGGGAATGTCTGATGAGTGTCAATGTCCAACACATTTCTGACACGAACATAGCCCCTTAGAAGTGTCCGTGCTTTGTAGCTCTTTTTCTTGATTGTAGGTGATTTTAATGTGATCATTAAGGTTTCATCCTACAACGTGGCCTATGGGTGTTATAGAAGGCCTCCTCTACCACTAACTCCTCCATAATATGCTTGAAAGAGCCAAGTAGTTGTTTGGTGGAATCGATAAGAAAAGGGGAAATATGATTTCTTGGAAATATGGTTTCTTTGTTGGATACCACCTATTAAAATAAATTATTTCCTCTAGGAGTCATGCTGAAAAAATGGGAGTTATAGAATTTCTCTAGGAGCTTCTTTGTATATGTAATTATAGTTATAGAGAAAGTTCATTGACTGCTTGTCTGCTATTTGCCTCACGACATAAATCAATTTTATAAAGGCCACATTTCTGCCTTGATAAGACCATGGATTTTTAACTTACTCCTTGAATGAGTTGATAGATATTGCATTAATACAAATTTTTCAACTATGGCTTACGATAATAGATATCTTTACAAAAATGCTATAGACCTCAAAAGAATTACCAAATGTGCGTACTGTGTAGCATTGCTCATATCTTTATAGAGTAAAAACATCAACTGTATCATCCTTGTTCATGAAGCTTAGAATATTTAACATAGCCTGTGGTTGTTTTGATGGATGCCACATAAGTTGAAGTAGTTTGAACAACTACTTGTTGCTTTTTACAATTGTGTTTGATAAAACCATAGGTAGCATACTTGATTCTTTCAAGTAAAGAGTGGGGGTGTTATTAAGAGAAAGCATTAGGAATTGGCGTATAGGGCTTGTTTGGTGTAACTTATTGTAAGCTGAAAGCTGATAATCAAATAGAAGAAACCAAATGCACCCATCCTCCAACTTTTATATAATAATTATTTTTTTAAAGCTTATTTAAGCTACTTTTTCCTAATAAATTGTAAGCAGATGTTGCAGTAGACAGTCTGGCACAAACTCTAGACTAAAAAATGTTATAAACAGCTCAGGTAAGCTGCACAAAACAGCCCCCATAATATTGAGATTATTGCACTTTTTAACTAGTTAAAGTTCACTCCATACTCCATAAATGTATTCACATAATGTGGCATGTTTATCGTGCGGTTTTTGGGAATTTAAAACCAATAGGTTTGGCCAATTTGATTCAGTGTTTTGTTTGACTTTTACAACTTGCAAAAGCTTATGATTTTGTGTTCGGGGGTTTTTATTTTGAATGCAGAATCTTTGGGAAGATCTTTAGTACAGATCGGCACCATCCATTTTCTCGTCATTGTTTTCATTTGATACACTTATCATGAAGTATTTGGAATACACTCTTGATCAATAGTTGTTAAACTTTATATTTTAAGCAGAAGCATGCTAATACACTTGATTGGGTACAGTCCCTCATGCGGTTTGATCAGTATTATGCTCTTATCATCTTTTTTCTTCTTTTAGTTTTTTTTGTTACTTTTGTTCAGTTTCTTTTGTATGGTAAGTGGTAATTTGTTATGTCATCCAATATAAATGATTTCTTAAGTCATGTAAATCTTGGAGAGCGTACCATCAAAGGATGCCTTGAAGCTTACTCTTGTAAGACAACTTGTATTCGTCTTTTTTGCGTCTTCCACCCCCCCTCCCTCTTATTTGTTAAATTTTGAGTTGACATATATTTCGTTTGTTTTGTGCTTTTTCCCAGGCAAACATACGGGAAGTGATAAGAAGTTGTCTCTCAGCATGGAGCATGATGTAACCCAAATTTATGTAGTTTATTTTATCCATGGAACAAAATTTCAGTTTCTCCCCATTGGAATAGTGGAAATGTTTTTGTTTTGAGGGAAACTGGAATGAAACACTTGTGAAATATTGATGTTTTAGTATTCATCAAAACAAATTATGTAGTTTATTTTATCCATGGAACAAAATTTCAGTTTCTTTCCATTGGAATAGTTGAAATGTTTTTGTTTTGAGGGGAACTGGAATGAAAAACTTGTGAAATATTGATAGAGAAAAGGAGGAGAAGAAATAAATATTTGATGTTTTCGTGTTTCCGTCAAAGCACAGTGGAGCATAGTGAAACACGCCAAAATAGTAAAAATTGTGTTTATGTGAAATCTAGAATCTTTCATAAATGTTATTTTACTTTTTTCTTCTTTTCTTTTAATTTTGTTTTTGAAATAAAAAAGATATTGGTTGCACTAGCCTTTATCCCTTTTGTTGCTTCTTTCATATTTTTGAACATTTTGAAACATTAAAAACTGAACTATTTCCATGCTAAAAAAGACAACAATATCCAATTGAAATCTTAATCCTTGACTATATCTTTGTGACGTAGCCTAACCCTCTCACATACCTTGATTAAACTTTTCATTTGTTGTTTTATAATTTAATATTTAGCAGTTATGATCTTTGCATATTGGATAATCTTCATGACTGGTTTCTTTACTGTGTGCCTACTTCATTTCTCTCATTTTCTTTCCTGTAAAATGGAAAAGTAAGAAAAAGGATAAAATTTTGTACCCATCGAACTCAAGAACTATAGGTCTATAGTAATGACAGAATATATAGGAGCTCGGCCATTTAAGTTTATAATTGAACTTATATTGCTCATAAATGTAGTAGTACACTCATGTTATACGGATTTTTTGGATACATGTAGTGTACACTTGAATGAGCGCCACTACAGCGACAATAAGTCTCGCCAAGTGTAGTAGATTGACACAGAGTCAACCGGAGACAAGAGATTTGATTATGGCCTGGTTTGACATAGTCCATATTCATCTTGCAATTCCTATCAGCAAAACCACAATCACTGGTTGGTCCATCTGTAGTTTCTAACACCCAAAAATGAAAAAAATATTAACAACACATTAGAGTAACTAAAAATTACAAAATTCATGATCTTTTAATAATAAAACTAGAAATGAGAGAGAGAGAGAGAGAGAGAGAGAGAGAGAGGTGTTACATCTGGATTGAGCGAAGAGGACAAGAGACAGAATGAGAATAGAAGCCCATACAAGCTTTGTTGAAGCCATTTTTCTTCACAATTAGATTACGAAATGATGAAAAAAAATGATTGGGATGTTAGCCTATTTATAGAGCAATGCAAAATCTTAATCCTTGACTATATCTTTGTAATGTAGCCCAGCCCTCTCACATACCTTGATTAACTTCCCATTTGTAGTTTTAAAATTTAATATTTAGCAGTTATGATCTTTGCATATTGGACAATCTTAATTAGGCCAGTCTATTAACTTTTTTGCTTACACATTTGAATATATATATTTTTATTCGAGATCTTCATGGGTTTAAATTTGTTTCTTTGCATATATGCAGTGAGTACCCTGAACCCTAAACCCTAAATCCTAAAACCCTAAACTCTGAACTTTAAACCCTCAACCCCAAAACCCTACAACCTAACCCTAAAACACTAAAACCCTAAACCCCAAACCCTAAACTCCAAACCCTCAATCTCAAACCCCCTAAACCGTATTTTCGCCTTTTCTTTTAATTTTGTTTTTGAAATAAAAAAGATATTGTTTGCACCAACCTTTATCCCCGTTGTTGCTTTTATCCTATTTTGGGACATTTTGAAACATTAAAAATGTACTATTTCCAAGCTAAAAAGGACAATAATATTCAATTGAAATCTTAATCCTTGACTATATCTTTGTAACGTAGCCCAGCCCTCTCACATACCTTGATTGACTTTCCATTGGTCGTTTTATAATTTAATGTTTAGCAGTTATGATCTTTGCATATTGGATAATCTTAATTAGGCCAGTCTAGAACTTTTTCGCTTACATTTATATTTTTTTTTTATTTGAGATCTTTATGGGTTTAAATTTGTTTCTTTGCATATATGCAGTGAGTACACTAAATGCTAAACCCTAAATCCTAAAACCCTAAACCCCAAGCCCCAAACCCTAAACCATAAACCCCAAAGCCCTACAACCTAACCCTAAAATAGTAAAACCGTAAACCCAAACCCTAAACTCCAAACCCTTAACCTTAAACCCCCTAAACCCTATTTTCTTATTTTCTTTTAATTTTGTTTTTGAAATAAAAAAGATATTGTTTGAACTTATCCATAAGTAAAATTATTAAAGTAAAAAATATATATGTCCAAAAAAAAAAAAGCTACTTAAAACTAGTGTAAAAAGTAGTAAATATATATAGGATCATGTTTTAAAAATTAAAGAAAATCCACCAAAAACTATCCTACTAAATGTGATTATGAAATAAAAATATGTATCAGTATCGGTAAGTTTTTCAGAATTTTTGTGAACAAATAAAAAATTTGTAGCGCTAGTTGCCACTAACATTACGCTACAACTGCTACACCCTACAACCATGTCAAATCCACCGTTATTGGTGGCACTTACTGTTCCTTAATACCTTGGAAGGACTTCAAAAGATTCTAAAGGTTTCTCTTCTCTTCATTTTTTTTTTTTTTTTTTTTTTTTTTTTTTTTTTGTTGGAAGGTAAACATAGCTTTTGTGAAAAATTATTATTCTCTAACCCATATTAATCCAACATTTTGACTCTTTGAATCGTGGATCTACCTGGAAGATCACACAAGCTATTCTTTTTGGTTCTTGGTGAGTTGTAAACCTCAACTATTTTTTAATTCCACCTATAATCTCTACCCTTGTCTTATCAACCATAAACCTAAGAACCAAAGCCTAGCCCTCTTTTAGTAAGAAGCATAGAGACTAAAGTGGGAGAAAATGGGATATCAACACACGGACATACGATATGACACGGATATGCCGACATGACAACTATCAAAAAATGTAGGATATGACACATGAGGGACATGCACAAATTATATAGTTTTTTATGTTTATTATGTGCCATATATTTGAGTATCTCATTAAAAGATAATTAAGATGAAATGCAATATAATACCATGGTTTTAAATATTGACTGTCATATATCGTATCGGCCAATATGTATCGGGATTTTGGACTTCCAAATACCATTAATTACCAATATATCGGCTGATAAACTTATATTGCCCATTATCAACCGATATATGACCATATCACTTATACGGATACTAATTCTTAAAAGTTTGAATGAGGAGCGTCAATAAGTATAAATCTATATTGTTTTTTCTTTTATCATTATATCTTCTAAGTCATTTTGGCCAAATTTATAATGTGTTTCATGTGTTAAGCAATGGTCATATGTGTCGCCCAAGTGTCCATAGCGTGTTTGGGTCAAAAAATAAATAAATAATATGACACATTTGGACTTGTGTCCAACATGTGTCAGGAAATGTCTGATGAGTGTCAATGTCCAACACATTTCTGACACGAACACACCGCCTTAGAAGTGTCCGTGCTTTGTAGCTCTTTTTCTTGATTGTAGGTGATTTTAACGTGATCATTAAGGTTTCATCCTACAGCGTGGCCTATGGGTGTTATAGAAGGCCTCCTCTACCACGAACTCCTCCATAATATCCTTGAAAGAGCCAAGTAGTTGTTTGGTGGAATCGGTAAGAAAAGGGGAAATATGGTTTCTTTGTTGGATACCACCTACTAAAATAAATTATTTCCTCTAGAAGTTATGCTGAAAAGACGGGAGTCATAGAATTTCTCTAGGAGCTTCTTTGTATATGTAATTATAGTTATAGAAAAAGTTCATTGACTGCTTGTCTGCTACTTGCCTCACGACATAAATCAATTTTATAAAGGCCACATTTCTGCCTTGATAAGACCATGGATTTTTAACTTACTCCTTGAATGAGTTGATAGATATTGCATTAATTGAGATTTTTCGACTACGGCTTAAGATAATAGATATCTTTACAAAAATGCTATCGACATTAAAAGAATTACCAAATGTGAGTACTGCGTAGCATTGCTCATATCTTTAAAGAATAAAAACATCAACTGTATCATCCTTGTTTATGAAGCCTAGAATATTTAACATAGCCTGTGGTTGTTTTGATGGATGACACATAAGTTGAAGTAGTTTGAACAACTACTTGTTGCTTTTTACAATTGTGTTTGATAAAACCATAGGTAGCATACTTGATTCTTTCAAGTAGAGAGTGGGGGTGTTATTAAGAGAAAGCATTAGGAATTGACATATAGGGCTTGTTTGGTGTAACTTATTGTAAGCTGAAAGCTGCTAATCAAAAAGAAGAAACCAAATGCACCCATCCTCCAACTTTTATATAATAATTATTTTTTAAAAGCTTATTTAAGCTACTTTTGCCTAATAAATTGTAAGCAGATGTTGCAGTAAACAGTCTGGCACAAACTCCAGAATAAAAAATGTTATAAACAGCTCAGATAAGCTGCACAAAACAGCCCCCTTAATATTGAGATTATTGCACTTCTTAACTAGTTAAAGTTCACTCCATACTCCATAAATGTATAATGTGGCATGTTTATCGTGCGGTTTTTGGGAATTTAAAACCAATAGGTTTGGCCAATTTGATTCAGTGTTTTGTTTGACTTTTACAACTTGCAAAAGCTTATGATTTTGTGCTTAGGGGTTTTTATTTTGAATGCAGAATCTCTGGGAAGATCTTTTGTACAGATCGGCAGCCTCCATATTCTCGTCATTGTTTTCATTTGATACGCTTATCATGAAGTATTTGGATTACACTCCTCTTGAACGGTAATTGTTAAACTTTATATTTTAAGCAGAAGCATGCTAATACACTTGATTGGGTACAGTCCCTCATGCGGTTTGATCAGTATTATGCTCTTATCATCTTTTTTTCTTTTTTCTTTTAATTTTTTTTGTTACTTTTGTTCAGTCTCCTTTGTATAGTAAGTGGTAATTTGTTATGTCATTCAGTATAAATGATTTCTTAAGTCATGTAAATCTTGGAGAGCGTACCATCAAAGGACGCCTTTGAACCTCTACAGTACTTTCAAAACTTCACACCA